CTACAGATTCAATGTAATCCCTATCAAAGTCCGAACAGGATTTTTTTTAAGAAATAGAAAAATCCATCCTAAAATTCATATAAGATCTCAAGGGACCCCCAATGACCAAAACAATCTCAAAAAAGATGAACAAAGTTGAGGGTCTCACACTTCCTGGTTTCAAAATGTATCACAAAGCTATATTAATCAAACAGTGTGAATGTCTGGCATAAAGGCAGACATACAGACCAATAGGATAGAATAGAGAGCCCATAAATAAACTGTTGCATATATGGTGTTATGGACAAAATTGTGTCCCCCACCCCAAAATCGATGTGTCGAAGCCCTAACCCCCAATGTGACTGTATTTGAAGAGAGGGCCTTTAGGGAGGTCATAAAACTTAAATGTAGTCATAAGGGTGGGGTTCCAACCCAGTAGGATTGGTATCCTCATAAAAAGATGAAGAGATACCAGAGAGCTCACTCTGTCTCCCAACCTGTGTACAGAAGAAAGACCATACGATGACACAGAGAGAAGGTGGATATCTTCAAGCCAGGAAGAGAACTCTCACCAGAAACTGAATTTGCTGGCACCTTGATCATGTATTTCTAGCCTCTAGAACTGTGAGAAAATAAAAGTCTGTTTTTTAAGCCACCCGGTCTATGGCATTTTGTTATGGTAGCTTGAGCAGACTAATACATATGGTCAAATGATTTTCAGCAGGGTGACTAGACCATTCAATGGGGAAAAGGACAGTCCTTCCAACAAATGGTATTGGGAAAACTGGATATCCACACACAAAAGAAGGAAGTTAGACCCTTACCTTACACCATATACAAAAATTAACTCAAAATGAGTCAAAGGCCTAACTCTAAGAGTTAAAACTATGAAACTAAGGGGAAAGCTTCATGACATTGGATTTGGCAATGATATCTTGAATATGACACCAAAGGCATAGGGAAAAAAAGGAAAAAAATATAAATTGGACCACAGGAAAATGAAAAACTTCCATGCATAAAAGGACACATCAAGGGACTCCCCTGGTGGTCTAGTGGGTAAGACTCTGTGCTCCCAATGCAGGGGGCCTGGGTTCAATGCCTGGTCGGGAAACTAGATCTCGCATGCATGCTGCACCTAAGAGTTCACATGCCGCAACTAAGAGTTCACATTCCACAACTAAGAGCCCACATGCTCCAACCAAAGATCCCGCATGCCACAATGAAGATCCAGCATCCTGCAACTAAGACCCTTTTGCAGCTAAAATAAATAAATAAATAAATAAATAAATAAATAAATAAATAAATAAATTTTTAAAAAGGACACATCAATAGAGTGGAAAGGCAACCCATAGAACAGGAGGAATTATTTGCTAATCAAATATGTGATAAATAAGAATGTATAAATAACTTCTATAACCCAATAACAGCAACACAAATAACCTGATTAAAAATGGGCAAAGGACTTCAGTGGACATTTCTCCAAAGAAGATATACAAGGACCAATAAACACATGGAAAGATGCTCAGCATCACTAAACATTAGGGAAGTGCAAATTAGAAACAGAATGAGATACCACCTCATACCCATTAGGATGGTTACTATCAAAAAACCAAAATAATAAGTGCTGGGGAGGTTGTGGAGAAATTAGAATCTTCGTGCACTGTTGGTGGAATGTAAAATAGTACCTCTGTGGAGGAAAAGAGTATGACAGTTCCTCTAAAAATTAAAAATAGAATTATCATATTATCCAGCAACTCCACTTCTGAGTACATACCCACCAGAAGAATTGAAAGCAGAGATTCAAACAGATACTTGTACACCAACGTTCACAGCAGCACTAGTCACAATAGCCAAAAGTTGGAAACTACCCAAATGCCCATCAATGAATGAATGGATAAATAAAATGTGGTGTATTCATATAATGGAATATTACCCAGCCTTAAAAAGGAAGAAAATTCTGACCCATGCTACAACACGGATGAAACTTGAGGACAACCATAGTCACAGCAGCATTATTCACAATACCCAAAAGGTAGAGGCAACCTAAATGTCCATCAACAGATGAATGGAATATATATATTATATATATAATATACATATTCATATATATATATATAATGGAATACTACTCGGCCATAAAAAATAATGAAATTTTGTCATTTGCAGGAACATGGATGGAACTGGAGGGTATTATGCTTAGTGAAATAAGACAGAGAAAGACAAATACTGTATGTTTTCACTTATATGTGGAATCTAAAAAATAAGACAAACTAGTGAATAAAACAAAAAAATGGGCAAAAGATTTGAACAGACACCTTACCAAAAAAGATATAAGAATGCTAAATAAGCACATGAAAAGATGCTCAACATCATTTGTTATTAAAGAAATGAAAGTTAAAAGCACAGTGAGATGCCACTATATACTCTCTCTCTCTCTCTCACTGTATATGTATATATATATATATATATATATATATATATATATATACATACATATATATACAGTTTTAACAAATGTCTGATGGTGAGTATGGTGGCAATGGAACCATAAGTTTCCACTAAAGTATAAAAATTACTGGAATGTAACACCACCCAGTAGATTTCAGAGTCCTAATGAGCTTCTATTCTGAAGATATATATATATATATATATATATATATATATATTAGAATGGCTAAAATGAAAAACGTATTGTCTATACAAAGTACTGGCAAGGATGTGAAGGAACTGGAATTCTCATACACTGGGAGTATAAAATGGTACATCCCCTCTGGAAAAATGTTTGCTAGTTTCTTAAAAAGTAAAAATGGTATTTACTCAAGATAAATGAAATCATAAATCCACACAAAGCCTTGTACACAATTGCTTATAGTGTTCTTATTCATAATTGCCCCAAACTACAAACCACTCTATGTCTTTCAGTGGGCAAATGGATAAACAATCTGTGGTACATTCATGCCATGGCATACTACTCAGCAATAAAGAATGAACTATCAATATATATAATGACATGGGTGAGTCTTTAAGGTCTTAGGCTGAGCAAAAGAAGCCAGGCAAAAAAAAAAATAAAGATTATATACTGTATGATGCCATTTATGTAAAATTCTAGAAAATGCAAACTAATATATAGGGACAGCAAATCAGTGCCTTGTGATGGCGGGGGTGTGTGGTGCAATAAGGGGCAGGAGACAGGGATTAGGAGGAAACTTTTGGGGGTGATACATGTGTTCATCAATTCAATTACGGTGATGGTTTCACTGGGATATACTAGTGTCAAAACTCATCAAATTATATTCTTTAAACATGTGCTGTTTACTGTATGTCAATTATACCTCAAGAAAGCTGTTAAGTAAACAAACACTTAACATAATGTCTAATGTTTGAGGTATAGGTTTGCTTGGTTTGTCTTCCATTCTGGTTTAAACTGCTTCTGACAATTTCTGAACCTGAATTCAAAGTGAGTTTGTTGTTTTGTGATAGTGTGTAATCTTGTACTGTCTTATGTGGTTGGCTAATTGACTCATAAACATGATTTAGTTTCTCCCACTAAACTAAAAAATCCTCAAGGCCAGGCCTCATATTTTATACTTTTCTGTATCCTCCTGCAGTGTCCAGCACAGTGACAGACAGAAAAGTTTAACAAATACCTTTTGATTAACCACAAGTGTCTTTTGTGCTCCTTGAAAAATTTGGGGGGTGGGGAGTCAAGACAGAAAATGAAGTATGATTTTTCTCTATTTTTATTCTTTTACTTATCTGGAATATAGTATAGAGGACATAGGGAGAAAAACCATAACACAAAGCGACCTCAAGGCCCCAACACTATTCTTTGTGCTATAACACTCAGATATAAATACAGGTTTGCCTGTCGCTGGGTTACATCAGAGAGCTGTGGGTTGAAGGCTGATGAAGATATACCAAGATGAAAGGATTGCCAGACTGCAATTCAGTTTGATTTCATTCCTCACCCTCTTCGTTTAGACCAATAAGGAGGTAATGACAAGACAAGGAAAGAGGAACTCACAGAGTGCTTGATAATAACAATGTCCTTTAACTAAACATCCTTAATGAGCAGCGTGTTCCAGTTGTGACTATAATCACTTTTCTCACCGTATCCCCCCAAAAGAGTGGCAGTAGAGTCTCTGCTTGCTGAAAAGTGAAAGAGATGGAAACTGAACTACCATGAGAACCTGGGAGATCTGCCTATCACGGAAAAGGGCCAACGTCATTCACTATAGTGGCCGGTGAGTAAAGTGTATTATCTTTGATTTCCGCCGTGGGAATTTACTGCCTGTAGAAATACGACTGTTGTAGGAAATGATATTGCCCTGGCTTTGATTTTTGTAGATCATGTAGGCATAGGGGATGACAAAGTACATCCAAAAACAGTGCACCAATATACGGGACACCAGACCAAACCAGCGCATGATTCTGACCTCTCTAATGTTAGAATCATCGTTGGTAAGTGTTTGTACTACAATGTTTACAGTTTCATAGAAAAAGATCCAGATGATGTAGATCACCAGGCCCTTGTACATATGGGCATATACTGAGTATAGGAGCAAGAAGCAGATGATGATGGTGATGAAAGATAGGAAGAAGACGATAGTCAAACTCCAGCAGATCATGAACTGTTTTATCAGGATACTTGTACTCTTGGTCTGTGGGGTAAGCTCAGTGCAATTGCTTCTCCTTAAGTACTTCTGTTCGAAGATGAGGTACAAGTAGATGGCCATGATGGTAAAGACCCCTGATAACATGGAGCCCATTTTGGCGGTCATCCCACACCAGTGCTGCCGTCTCATGCTGAGACCTCCTGTGAAGACAAATAACATGGGGGAGAATTCTGATTCCTGCCAATGTGGTAAATTACCAGGGTTTCTGCCTCCTTCCCCAAATTCACTTGGAGAAACAATAGAGAGAAATATGGAAACCAGGCAATAACAGCTTTGAGAAAGACAGAAGACTGTTTAAAATTAATTGGGAGTGTGAGTGGGGAGGAGGGAGATGCAGTTTGGGCCATGGTGGCAGTGAGTAGATAAATTGGAGAAGTGACTCTCAATGCCGGCTTCACATTACAGTCACTGAAAGTCAGCACCCCACACCAATTAGAACATTCTCTGGGTAGGACCCAGGTATCAGTATTTTTAAAAACCTCCCTGTGATTTTCATATGTAGGCAGTATTGAAAAACACTAAATAGAAAAAGTTAGTTTACATATTTTTAAATTTTATTTATTTATTTTTGGCTGTAGGCTTCTCTAGTTGAGGCACGTGGGCTTAGTTGCAGTACGTGGGATCTTAGTTCCCAGACCTGGGCCCCCTGCATTGGGAGCGTGGAGTCTTAACCACTGGACTGCCAGGGAAGTCCCAGGAAAAGTTAGTTTAAATTATGCTCTTATCTCTTCCAGCATTGCTTTGGGCAACCATTGCTGCCCCCTGATGGGGAAAATTGGCCGCATTATCCAGACATTGAGTACAGGTATCTTAGGAAAAAAATCAGGGTAGCGCAATAGCCCTGCTGGGATGAGTTGATGAAAACAATTAGGCTTTGAGCAATCACTCCTCCAAAACTTAAGGAATACAATGAAAGGTGTACTTTAAGGGAAATTTAGAAACTTAGAATAGAATAGCCTTATCATGGAAAAAATAAAGGCAATAATGAACTAAGCATTCAACCCAAGAAGTAAGGGGGAAAAAAAACAACCAAGGATAAGAACAAAAAAAAAAGGAGAAAATAAATAAAGAACAGAGATCAATAAAAAGGAAGAAAAGATAAAGCAGAGGGACTTCTGATTGCTAAGGTTATTGGGGCCAACTTGCTGCCAATAAAAACCCCAACAACTAAAAACTGCTGTATAAAATAGTTTTAAAATATTCTTGAAAGCACAGAAGAGCTGACAAGATAAGAGGTAGGAGACCAAAGACAATAGGAATTCAGGAATTGGGACAGGTAAGCAAACATGAAAGTCAAATTTGCTCTGAGGGTATTTGCCAATCTGGGCAAACTTGAATTTCATTATGAGAACTCTGTAGGGTAAGGAGGAATGAAATTAAAGCTCAGGGTCCACCAAGGTGGGGAGTCTATTTTTAAATTAATTAATTAATTAATTTAGGCCATGTTGTGTCTTCATTGTCGTACGTGGGCTTTCTCTAGTTGCGGCAAGTGGGGGCTGCTCTTCGTTGCGGTGCACAGGCTTCTCATTGTGGTGGCTTCCCTTGTTGCAGAGCACAGGCTCTAGAGTGCAGGCTCAGTAGTTGTGGCTCACGGGCTTAGTTGCTCCACGGCATGTGTGATCTTCTCAGACCAGGGATCGAACCCATGTCCCCTGCATTGGCAGGCAGATTCCCAACCACTGAGCCACAAGGGAAGTCCTGGTGGGGAGTCTATTAGAAGGCCTTCCCTGTATTAGTCATGGCCACAAAGGTCTATGATTAGAGTAAAGGGGAATCAGAAGTAAACTTGCCCCCACATCTTGTCCCAAGAGACTCCAAGGAAAGTGAACTTAGTACTACACTGAACAAATGCGGGGGGTGGGGTGGCAGGGGGAACTCTCCTTGAGACATTGTAACCATAACTAACCTTCTTATAGATTTGTAGCCCAAATTACATGAAGTATTCAAAAAAACTTTTAAGTCTAGTTTAAAGTAGTCCTAAACTGAAGTGTCTCTAAGTGCCTGACAGAAGTAAACTCAGGCCTTCTCTGGAAGGATACATCTTTGTGCTGGTCCTCAAAGTATCACCATCAGTAATTAATTTTTCAGGGACAATGACTAGTACATAGTGAAAAATAACTGAGCATACAAGGAACAAGGCACTGTGAGAAGCAGCAGAAATAACAGAACTGCAAAAATACCACATTATTAAACAATTATGATTAGGACATTTTTTTGAATTGTTTAAAATTTTTATTTTTAATTTTGGTAAAATACACGTAACATAAAACCTACCATCTTAACCATTTTAAGGTATAAATATTTTATACTTACAGTAGTCATCCTAGTGGCTAACAATGAGGACATTAGAATTAGAGAAGTTAGTTAATTTATTTTGCCTAAAGCTGTACATCTGGTCAGTAGCAAAATCAGGATTTGAACTCACACCTGCCTGGCTCTAAAACCAGTCTTAACACTCAACCCACTTGTGCCTTATCTGCCTCAGAGATTTGTGAGCTCAGAGAGCTTAGAGACTCTATTTATCCCACAGCTCCTAACAGAGGGCCTTGACTAGAAAAGAGCCTTGATTAGAGCAGACCCTTTACTAGCTTCCTTCAGCTTATTCTTTTTTTAAAAAATATTTATTTATTTATTTGGCTGCATTGGGTCTTTGTCGCTGCATGCAGGCTTTCTCTAGTTGTGGCAAGCGGGGTCTACTCTTCGTTGCAGTGCGCAGGCTTCTCATTGCGGTGGCTTCTCTTGTTGCAGAGCACGGGCTCTAGGTGCACAGGCTTCAGTAGCTGTGGCACACAGGCTCAGTAGTTGTGGCTTGTGGGCTCTAGAGCACAGGCTCAGCAGTTGTGGCACACGGGCCTAGTTGCTCCATGGCATGTGGGATCTTCCCGGACCAGGGCTTGAACCCGTGTGCCCTGCGTTGGCAGGCGGATTCCCAACCACTGCTCCACCAGGGAAGTCCCTCCTTCTGCTTATTCTTTTTTTTTTTTTTTTTTTTTTTTATGAGGTAGGCTCTATTGTCCCTGGTTAACAGCTGGGGAGACTATTACTTTTTTTCTTTTTTTTTTAAGAAGATGTTGAGGGTAGGAGTTTATTAACTTATTTATTTTTGCTGTGTTGGGTCTTCGTTTCTGTGTGAGGGCTGTCTCTAGTTGTGGAAAGCAGGGGCCAATCTTCATCGCGGTGCGCGGGCCTCTCATTATCGCGGCCTCTCTTGTTGTGGAGCACAGGCTCCAGATGCGCAGGCTCAGCAGTTTGTGGCTCACGGGCCTAGTAGCTCTGCGGCATGTGGGATCCTCCCAGACCAGGGCTCGAACCCGTGTCCCCTGCATTAACAGGCAGATTCTCAACCACTGCGCCACCAGGGAAGCCCTGCTTATTCTTATATGTTAGACTTCCTCAGTGCACAAACC